GCTCCAAGCCCCCCCCCCCACCCCAAGCTGCCTTTCCTTCCTTCCTCCTCCTCCTGCTAAGAAAAGATTTCCCCCTTTCGGATTCGGGGAATGGGATAAGGCAGGAGCGGGTTGGACTAGAAGACCTTCCAAGGTCCCTACCAGCCCTAAGAGAATAAGAGAGTTGGAAGGGACCTTGTCCAACCCCCTGCCCAAGGCAGGGAAGCTTATACCATCCCAGACACATGGTCGTCCAATGTTTTTCTTGGAAACCTCCCGTGATGAAGCACCCACAACTTCTGGTGGCAAGCAGTTCCGCTGGTTAATTCTTCTCCCTGTCAGGAAATTTCTCCTTAGTTCTAAGTTGCTTCTCTCCTTGATGAGTTTCCATCCGTTGCTTCTTGTCCTGTCCTCGGGTGCTTTGGAGAATAGCTTGACTCCCTCTTCTTTTGGGGCAGCCCCTCAAATACTGGAAGTCTGCTCTCATGTCACCACTACTCCTTTATTTTCATTAAACAGAATAAAAGAGTTGGAAGGGACCTTGGAGGTCTTCTAGTCCAACCCCTTTCTCAAGCAGGAGGTCTTACCCCATTCTGGACAAATGACTGTCCAGTCTACACTTCAAAACCTCCAGTGATGAAACACCCACAACTTCCCGAGTTAAGCTTCAAGTAATCCACGAATTAATTCTTCTAACTGTCAGGAAATGTCACCTTCCTTCTAGGTTGCTTCTCTCCTTGATGAGTTTCCACCCGTTGCTTCTTCTCCTGCCTTCGGGGGGGCTTTGGAGAATAGCTTGGCCCCCTTTCTTCTTTGGGGCAGCCCCTCGGATACTGGACACCTGCTATCATGGCCTCCCTGGTCCTTCTTGTAATCAAACTAGACATACCCAGTTCCTGCAACCTTTCTCCGCATGTTTATATTCTCCAGCCCCTTAATCCTCTTGGTTGCTCTTCTCTGCACTCTTTCCAGAGTCTCAACATCTTTTTTATATCATGGCAACCAAAACTGGATGCCAATATTCCAACTGTGGCCTTACCAAGGCCTTGTAAAGCGGTATTAACACTTCACCTGATCTTGATTCCATCCCTCTGTTAATGCAACCAAGGGTTGTGTTGGCTTTTTTGGCTGCTGCAGCACACAGATGGCTCCTATTTAAGGGATTGTCTGCTAGGACTCAGAAATCCCCCTCACAATGGCTACTGTATTAGCTACTACTACTAGTAGCCCTAGGATTCTACGATCCTATGTTGTACATATGCATTCAAGATTACCATTGGATAACTATTTGTCGGGGATGGCATAGGGCAGGTAATCATCGACTTACAACCCCAATTAAGTCCAGCATTTCCATTGTTAAGCAAGATAGTTGCTAAGTAAACTTTGCTCCGTTTTACGACGTTCCTTACCCCTTACTCCTTGTTCCTTACTCCTTGTTTAAGTGAAACACCACAGTTGTTAAGCAAGGGACATGGGCATTGTAAGCAAATCCAGCTTCCCCGTTGATTATGCTTGTCAGAAGGTCATAAAAGGGAATCATGTCACCCCCCCCCCCCGGAGGACGCTGCGACCGTCATAACTATGAGTCAGTTGCCAAGCATCTGGATTTTGATCACAGGATGCAGCAACCGTGTAGAAAAAGGCTGACAAGTCCCTTTTTTCAGCGCCGTCGTAACTTTGGACTGTTGTGAGTGAACCGTTGTGAGGACTACCTGTAGGAAGAGGAAAAGCAGCAACGAAATGAATCTCAGGAGTTGTTTACGAGAATTCGTAGCTAAAGGTTTCAGAAAGGTGAAAACAAAAGTTTGTGAAGGGCAGTGTGACTTTCTGGAGGGTGCGGTGTGTGTGTACCTTCGAGGTGGAGCTGGTGTGTTTGGCAGGGAACAAGGAGTAGACCGTGGCCAGCGACCTGTAAGTGGGGGAAAAAAATGTAACAGCGAGTAGTAGATGGTTTATTAAAATGCTGGAGAGGTTTTTAAGGCATGCCATGGTGAAAGAAAAGAAAGGAATTAATCTTGGATTGGGAGGAATATTGAAAGGGAGAAATCCGAGGGGGCTTTAGCTCTTAGCTGGTACTAAGTGGAGCTGGTACTAAGCTGGTACTGAGTGGAGTATCTCAGGAGGAACTTTCGAGTAAGTTGAGTTTTTGAAACCTGCAGCAAACGAATTGGGAGGAATCTAGGAGAACCATTTCTGGCCAAGCTCCTTTAGAAGTACCCTTTCCCCCCGAAAATATGACCTACCCTGAAAGTAAGTCCTAGCTTGATTTTTACATATGTGCCCAATATAAGCCCTACCCTCCAAAATAAGCCCTAATTAAGATCCCGCCCACTCCAGAGTGGATGGGTAAAAATTAAGCTAGGGTGGGGATCGGATTGTGGTGGAGCTGCTCTATTACTTACCTTTGGACAGGTGTAGCCAGGCCTCGCACACCCCGACACCTGCCTGGCGGGCCCATTTCTTCTGCAGCCGGCAAGGCTGGCAAGGCTTTCCTGAAGGCCTCTGTAGTAGCTAAGAACAAAGTTCTGGATCGATCCTGAGCTCTGTTATTGGCTGCAGAGGCCTTCAGGAAAGCCATGCCGGCCGCAGGAGGAGGAGTTCCTGAAGGCCTCGGACAGCGAAAAGGAGGCTGGGGGCGATGCGCGCAAGTGAGGTTAGTCAGTGGAGGACGTCCCCCGAAAATAAGACCTGGTGCCTTTTTTGGTTGCAAAAGAAATATAAGTCAGGATCTTATTTTTGGGGAAACAAAGTATTCATTTTATCAATGGTTAGTTGACAGAAACAAGTTAGGAAATTAAAACTTTAAGAGAATGATTATCTGTACAATGAAGGTTTATTAGCGTGGATAAGCAAATATTATTATTAGGGGATTATTATCAACCCTGCGAAGAATATTGTTATTACTATTATTATTTTTCAAAACTAATTGTAGCCAGACAACACACTGTTCATGTAGACATTGAGTTATTATGTTTACTAAAGAAAAATGTATACATAAAATATATGCATAAACAAAGAGGTATTCTCCGGTTACAGCCATTCCTTTACTGACCGTTAATGGCACCAGAAAAAAAGCGACTTATGACCGTTTTTCACACTTATGACCGTTTCAGCCATCCCCATGGTCACGGGATCCAAATTTGGACCCTTGGCAACTGACTCACATTTACAACGGCCGCGATCCTCTTTTGCGACTTTCTGAGAAGTGGAGTCAGTGGCACAAGCCGGACTCACTGAACAACAGTGTGACTCGTTGAACAGCCGCAGTGATTCGCTTAACAACGGAGGCAAGAAAGGTCGTCAAAGGGCGCAAAACTCACTCCGCAGCAGCCTTGCTTAGCAGCAGAAATGTTGGCCTCAATTCTGGTCGTAAGTCGAGGATTCTGCATTACAAGGCACCAGTTCCTTTTCTTGCTTAATGGCTCCATTCTGGTTGTAAGTCAAGGATTCTGCATTACAAGGCACCAGTTCCTTGTCTTACTTAACGGCTCCATTCTGGTTGTAAGTCGAGGATTCTGCATTACAAGGCACCAGTTCCTTGTCTTGCTTAACGGCTCCATTCTGGTTGTAAGTCGAGGATTCTGCATTACAAAACACCAGTTCCTTGTCTTGCTTAACGGCTCCATTCTGGTTGTAAGTCGAGGATTCTGCATTACAAAACACCAGTTCCTTGTCTTGCTTAACAGCCGAAATGTTGGGCTCCATTCTGGTCGTAAGTCGAGGATTCTGCATTACAAGGCACCAGTTCCTTGTCTTGCTTAACGGCTCCATTCTGGTCGTAAGTCGAGGATTCTTCATTACAAGGCACCAGTTCCTTGTCTTGCTTAACAGCAGAAATGTTGGGCTTCATTCTGGTCGTAAGTCGAGGACTCCCTGCATTGCAAGGCACCAGTTCCCTCTCTTGCTTAGCAACAGAAATTTAGGGTTCAATTGCCATAAAGCGAGGACTCCCTTGCATTGCAAGGCATCAGCTCCCTGCCTCGGATGCCTGCAAAAGCACTATGGTGTCGTGTTTTGTGTTGTGTGTGTGTGTATGTTTGTGTCATGTGTGCGTGTGGCGTTGCACCCGTTGCCAAGCTGCCCTGTTCGAGCCTCTCTCTCCTTTTCTCCCTCCAGGCCTCTATGGCAAAGATGGCATCCTGCCCGCCCGGAAGATGCTCCGCTTCACGGGCAAAGGCTTCTGGGAGCAGCTGCGGGACTCCCCGACGCTGCTGTGGCTGGGCCCCCACCTGGGGCTGGACACGGAGCAGGGCCTGGAGCTGCTGTGCCTGATGGGCACGCTGCTCTCCTTCGGGGCCCTGCTGCTGGAGCCCCTGCGGGACAGCCTGGTCTTCCTCGCCCTCTGGGGCCTCTACCTCTCGGTCTACCAGGTACACGGGGCGGGGTGGATGCTGCCCTCCAGGTGTGCTGCCTGGGGGATTCTGGGAGTTGAAGCCCATACTTAATAAAGGGCTGACAAGGAATTCTGGGAGTCGAAGTCCTCACTTATGATGCTGGCTGGGGAGTTCTGGGAATTCAAGTCCATACTTAATAAAGGGCTAACAAGGAATTCTGGGAGTCGAAGTCCTCACTTATGGTGCTGGCTGGGGAGTTCTGGGAATTGAAGTCCATACTTAATAAAGGGCTAACAAGGAATTCTGGGAGTTGAAGTCCTCACTTATGGTGCTGGCTGGGGAGTTCTGGGAATTGAAGTCCATACTCAATAAAGGGCTAACAAGGAATTCTGGGAATTGAAGTCCTTAAGACTAGAGAAATCTGGGAGTTACAAGTCCACACTTCCTAAAGGGCTAAAAAGGAATTCTGGGAGTTGAAGTCCTCACTTACGATGCTGGCTAGGAAATTCTGAGAATTGAAGTCCTTAAGTTGGTTTGCTAGGGAATTCTGGGAATTGAAGTCCACACTTTACAAAGGGCTAACAAGGAATTCTGGGAGTTGTTCTTTTTAAGGTGCTGGCTAGGGAATTCTAGGAATTGAAGCCCACAGTTCTTAAGGTGCCAATTGGGGATCTCTGGGAGTTGAAATGGGCAGTTTTTAAAGAGCTGCCTGGAGAATGTTGGGAATTGAAGTCCTTAGTTCTTAAGGTGCTGGCTAGGGAATTTTGGGAATTGAACTCCACGCTTTCTAAAGGGCTAACAAGGAATTCTGGGAGTTGGAGTCCTCACTTCCGATGGTGCTGTCTTGGGAATTCCAGGAATTGAAGTCCATACTTAATAAAGGGCTAACAAGGAATTCTGGGAGTTGAAGTCTTCACTTATGGTGCCGGCTGGGGAGTTCTGGGAAGTCTTTAAAACTAGGGAATTCTGGGAGTTGAAGTCCATGCTTTCTAAAATGCTAACAAGCAATTCTGGGAGTTCGAGTCCTCACTTCTGATGGTGCTGGCTGGGGAATTCTGGGAATCCATACGTTATAAAGTACTAAGAAGGAATTCTGGGAGTTGAAGTCCTTACTTTATAAGGTGCTAACTGG